TCATCAGTTGAAGAGGCAGCCTCTCCTGACAAGGCCAAAATTAGAGCAACTTAAAAGCACCTCCAATAAACTTCAGAAAACACCAGCACTTCAGTCCTCAGCTAAAGTGGCAAATATGGATGTGATGTTCTTACATGTTTTATGAAGACAATTTTTTTGCCACTGTATAACTGAACATTCCCTGAAGTACTTCAGCACCTTTGACACTTTTCTTGGAATAAAGTTTCTAGACCTGCCCATGTACTTTAGTGACTAAGAGACAGAGCTATGGATCACAACGGCCCCTAATCTAAGTTTTTACTTCTGTGATTTTTGCAGGCAGCTGCTGGGGTTTGGCACTGAAGACACCAGCTTCTTCTGTACTTAATTCTGTGTTCTAGTACCCTTTGCATCTGGTGCCCTCCTGATCCAGGGGTGGCTCACCTGCCAGGCTCACCACATCCTCTGGAGCGAGTGAATACTCCCTGGCAGGTCTGAGATCAGCCACACTCAGCTGTGCCTTGGAGAGAGCTCTGCCAGCTAGGCCCCTGATTTTCTCCTGTAGGGATAAGGCATCCTGGAGGTTGTATTTTGAGGAGGAATAGATGGGATTTCATACCTCTGCCAGACTCTTATTTAGTTTAGTTAGAATAATTCCACCTTTTATCACAAGATTTTAGGATGAGCTAATATAAAAATGGCAAAAATGTAAATAATTTAGAATACATTAAAGTGTTCAATAATTTAAAACATAAGATTTAAACAATTTAAAATCATTACAATCATAGATGTTGCAAGGAACTGCACAATCAATTGAAGCCACAATCCTTAAACCCAAAGACTCTGGTGAACAACCATATTTTAGCTCGGTACCAAAATATTATGAAGAAAATACACGAAATGGCCTTAATAAAAACTGTGTAGACATGTTGAGGCAATGTGAAGTTCAAAATTTCATTCCATCCAAAAAACATATAAGCAAGTAACTATTCTGAATATCAGTGGCTTTAATTGTTATGACTAGTGTGTTACAGAATAAAAACTTACAAATGATTTTATATTCAGTTTTAGAGCTCTTACAGTAAACTTAAAAGTAACCCTTAGAAATCATGAACAATGTTGTTCTCAGATATCCAGGGAGACCTGATGAATTTTACATCAAGCTACTTCTTTACAATCAACACTCCCTTATTATATGCTCTGCAGCAAAATTTTGTGCAGCAGCAATGGCACAGTGCTCCCTTATTTCCTGAGGTCACAGGCTGACTGGTTTTAGCATGAGGGTGGTTTATTGTTGAGCATAGAGAAATGTTGTGATCCCAACCAAAGGGAGGAAATGTTTACAAATCTTCACAAATATGTATGAAGGACTCGCTATAACCCAAAGACCCTGTCCAAACCAGTTTGCCCTAGATGATCCAATGGTTCAAAGGATAGTTATAAAAATGCTGTATTTGATTCTCCCCATATTTTACAAGCAGTACACAATTAATTATCTGTTGTACACTTTTTAAATTGCATTTTGCATATTTTAACCACATAATATGTTTTATGAACTGGTTGTACATTTTGAAACTGCATTTCGTATATTTTAGCCATAAATATGTTTTATGAGCTGATCACTCGACCGTAATAAATAAATTATTATGAACAATGTTGTCTTCCAAATGCAACACAATGATATCCTGGAACAAGGCTGGGTGATACTTTTATTAGAGCAATGCAATCTCACAAGCAGGCAAGATGTTAATGCCAGGCATTAAGGCAAGGCTATCTTCTTGTTTTAATATCAACCTAGATATAGCTATCCAGAAGTAAGCTCTAGTGAGTTGAATAGGACAGCTTGCCTTTACCAAGATGCAAGATAAGTCGTGTATATAGGATTGCAAGCTCAATATACCACATTAACCCATGAAGAAGGAAGAGAGGAAAAAAAGAAGTGTCGAGTTAACAACCTCATTCTGTCCCTAATCTACCTGATAAAAATATTTGTTTTTCTCACAGCCTGATTAAAATCTGCCCAGCACAGATTTCATTAATCATGCAATGACAGAATTTTACTCAGAAGAGTTACACCGTAGTGCTCGGAATAGGGACTGGCACTTTTTAGGAAGAACTATAATTTTCCAGTTGGATGGGTACCTCAAGTACTTAACTGAAGATAACTGAAGTATCTAGCTGTGGAATCAGCAATAGGAAATTCCCACTGTTCCTGCCAGGAGAAAATCTAGCTTGCGCAGCCTTAAGGCAAGCTGCTTGGTCCTAGAGCTCTTCCAGAAGAAGGGACCAGCAAACTGCCCAGAGTGGTGTGTGCACTAATGGGCTGGTATATCAATCAATCAATCAATCAATCAATCAATCAATCAATCAATCGATCAATCAAATAAACAAACAAATAAAATATTTTGTACCTAGGAAATCCTGGCAACGGTAATCATACACTGGAATCGACTTAAGGACATCCTTAGGAACACATCATGAAGCCTGGCCCAACCATTCTATTTGCATTTGTTTTCCACTTTCAGCAATGCTTAAACCTTCCCTAAGATTTTATGCATGATGGCTATGAGCAGTGCCAAAGGAGGAGTAAATGCTTCCGGCAGACAGACGTATTTCCCCTTCACTATTACTGAGCCCTGGTACATACTTAAATAAGATATGTTTTTCACATTTAAGTAATGTAATGATGTAATGATCATTCATTGGCTAAAATCCTGTTGCATCAACAGCCATGGACATTTTCTAGATTTTCTTCTGGGAATTAAAAATCTTCAACTCCCTCACCAAAGGACCCCCTTTTCTGTCATGCAGAGGCTGTGGGATTGGGGGGCAGGGCAGAGATTTTAATTTTGGAAATCTTCACTACAGATAGAATCATACCACTGTAGTACATTTTGGAAATTAAATACGGCCCTCATCTAATCCTGCAGCTTTCTCATGCCAAAAAGGATCCCAAGGGAGCCTCAGGACCTGAGAGAAGGGTGGATTAGAATTTTTTTAAATTTACAAAATATTGCTGATGCTGCCATCAGCTTTATGCAACCTAACTCCTGACAACAGGGTTTCAGCCACAGTATGTTTAAATGATTCTGCTTTCCAAAATATGCCTAATTAAAGCTAATGCCTTAGAAATAAAAACGACCTAGTTTAGAATTTCCCCCCACAAATCTTTCCAAAAATTTTAGAGACAAATCTTTTCCTTTAGAAGCATTTGTCCTGTTTGTGCTACTGCTTTTATGTGTGTGATGTCACCACTGATGAAACCCAAAGCAGTCCAAAGCCAAAAATATCCAGGTTCACCAGTGACAGAGGCTGATAGGCAAGCTTTCTATTAAGACTTTACCTCCAATGATATGTTCTCTAAATACCCAGCAGTTAATTTAGTTATTTAATATGCTGAGTAGGTTTTAATATTCTAAGCAGGTTTTCTTTTTAAGCACTCCTTCCATCTAGCACTAATACAAAAATTCTGTTAGCATGGACCTAATTCATCTCTTAAAAAACAAGAGGCTACAGATAACAAGGCTGAGTGCAAAAAAAAAAAATCAGGTTTTGAGATTTTTCAGTACTGTAATGTGAAAGATATCCTCTCCAATATACATTAGTAGGCCTAAATCCAATTGGTAGCCCTAACTGAAGTATATCCATTGAATTAATACAACTTACATAAGTGCTGTCTTACAAAATGCCTACTGATTCAATGGGTTTACTGTAGTATAGTTTAGACCACAGAAGTGAACTGCAACATGATAGGGAGAGGGGGGCAGTAGGTAACAGCTATTTCCTAACCACGTTCCCACTCTTGCAAGGAGGGTCACTCACACCAACAGGTTCCTGTTAGCTGCTGGGGCAATGTAACTAAGCAGGCATCCAACTGGCAGTCATCCATGAGCTAATTCTGGCCATCAAGCTTCCAAAATCTATCACGTTATATAGTGATCTTCCTTGGCATACCAGGTTGTCCTCAACCTACAAAGTCCATCCTTCCAAGCACTAATCAAGGTCACCTTGTCAGCTTTGGAGCCATGCTTGTATAATGACTGCTGCCAGCTTTTGAATATAAGGAACGGGTTATGCAATAAGTATGCAATATGTACAGCCATGTTCTTTCAAGAAGGTACAGTGGACCCTTGACTTACAGACGGCTTGACTTACAGACTTTTTGAGTTACAGACTTCTCTGGCCGCAAAATTTAGGTTTGACTTGCAGACTGAGATTTGACTTACAGACCAGAAAAAAACCAAAATGGAACAAAAACGGCCTGTTACGGGATTAATTGGTTTTCAATGTACTGTAGGTCAATGGAGACTTGACCTACAGACTTTTTGACTTGAGAACCGCCTTCCAATACGGATTAAGTTCTCAAGTCAAGACCCCACCTGATGCTATTTTTCCAGCAGCATTCAAACTGACTTTTCAATCCACATTCTCTCCATTTATTTAGCAATGCTGTGTTGAGCTCCATTTGAGGAGTAAGATGGAAATATCTACCCTTGACTTTTTGACAAACAAATACAGTGGTGCCTCGCTTAACGAGTGCCCCGTTTAATGACGAATCCGTATAGTGACTTGTTTTTGCGATCGCAAAAGCGATCGCATTGCGATCTTTTTAATGGCAAAAAATCGCCTTGCAATGATCGGTAAGCTGTTTCGCTTACCGATTTTCGCATAGCGATGTTTTAAAAACAGCTGATTGGCGGTTCCAAAATGGCCGCCGGAAAAAATGGCCGCCTGCTGTGTTTTCAGACCCATTCCTCGCTTACCGGGCAGGGAAAATGGCAGCCGTATGGAGGATATTCGCTTAAAGGTGAGGTTTTGCCCATAGGAACGCATTAAATGGGTTTTAATGCATTCCTATGGCCTTTTTTATTTCGCATAGCGACGAATCTGGATAGCGACTATTTTTCCGGAACGGACTATCGTCGCTATGCGGGGCACCACTGTACTAGAAGTATCCTAAGATTCCAGGAAGAACAGAGTTAAGGGCAGAAAAAAGGAAAAGAGGAGAGAAAGTTCCTTACGAGCTTTCACAGAACTTTCTAAGAGTGCTTGGCTTTTCCTGATTACGCCTTTGTCGAAACCAACGCTGAATACTGCGTACATCCCAGTCCAGCTGCTTGGACAGCCCTTCAAGCCTCTTCTCATCTGGATGCTACAAAAAAAGTGAGTGAGAGAGAGAGAGAGAGAGAGAAAGAGAGAGATCACTAAAATTCCTTCTGTTTCCAAAGACAGGTTTAGGCAGATTAATATTACTAGCATCTACTTCCAAACAACAACAACAACAACAACAAAGTATCACATTTTAACAACACCCAACTGAATATATTACTATATATTACTTGAATATAAATACAGCTGAAATCTATACTCAGAATCTAGATATAAAAAACTGCACCAGATGTGAACCACACGTTCAGAGTATCACCTGTTACAGCTGTACTGCTTTAGTGTTTGGGGTGATGTGAGGAATCACTATTTCAGGTGTGCATGCACAAACCCAGATTACCTTGACAATATAGATTACAAGCTTATATATGCTACTCATGAGCAAGCACCCCAAGAGTCATACATGAGGGTAGAAATAAAGCAATCAAATGTTTAATATCATTCCCGCTTCTCCAGCCCATATGTCTCATATTACCTTTGTATTCTACTGTCTATTTTTCTAAAGTTTCATTCAAATGGCATCAGTGCAGTAATTCCAGATGGCCACTGAAAAAGTTTAATTGAATGCTCAGTGAGCCAAAACAGGAGACTGTGGTGGGCTGCAATTAAATATTAAATTAGACTGTGGCCATTTGCATGGGGAATATGGCTTGCTGAACGAAAGGCTAACAGGCATACAAAAAGCTGTAGGTACACCACAGACCAATATGTGATGATAACACAGATCAATTAAGAACAGGCAGTATCATTTTCTCCTTTGTAAAAGAAACAAAATAGTTTGAGTGAATACACTCATGCGCAGACTATGCACCCTGCTAAGCTTTTTATCAGAAGCTAAACATAGCACCAAGCGGGCCTGCAATTGCTGTCTGAGTAGGAGATTCAGATAAGGGGAGCAGGAACATCTGCATTTTATACAGGAAGAAATAGGGGAAATTCCAGCATAAACCAATCACCACCATCAATAAATGTCTAAAATTTGTATAAAAGGTGAAATACATTATTTAACTGCAATTTAATAACTCAGTGACCAAAATTCTACTATGAATTTATGCTGGCATTAAGTGTAGAAGTGTATGGGATTAAAGGAATTGTTAATTAAAATGTCAAGAGGGTCAACAGTTTCCCCATTTCTGCTCAGGACATTAGGAAGTGTCCCTCCCTCCCCTGCCATTTCTTCCTATATTCAGAAGGTAAGCATTCTCAGATGAGACCTGAGATGCTGTACAGTTGCCATCCAATGTGTAATAGGAAATAGGAGTGGCAACGGAGACGGATGAACCAGTGTGCTCATCCTCACTGTACCAGCCACCCCCAGTACCTAGAGCAGACATCTGCTTGCTGCACCTGCATAAAGCTAAAGGCAAACATCTCTTACTACTTTATACAAACTTGTAATGTTGTTCCTTTGGAAGTAAGACTTACACCAGCAAACATCAGCAAAAAAGGCCACCAAAAGCAATGCCTCCTGGAAGTTCTAATGCAAGCCTCATTGTAAGAACCCGAAACAAAATGTCAAACATGTGAAGCTGGGATACAGCCCACAATACCATAGTTTCAGATGCATAAAAGGTTCCATGCTGTTGTCACCATTATCCAGCTAGCAGTTTCTTTGTTCTTGAGAATAATTGGTACATATTGACATTTTCTAATGAGTTTTACCACTTCAAAGAGTGGAATTTAATATTTGTAGTATTTAGATTAAACTCCACTGGAGCTACATTTCTGTTTGATACTTTCCAAAACAAGTTGAGAGAATAAATTCTGGGGGTTTTTTTCCTCCAAGCACATTAATGCATTTTATTCACTTACATTTCAACAAAGAGTAGTGTTGATGAATAATATCAAGCACTTTATGGTGCTCAGAGCAGGATGGAGAAAAGGTGCGGAAAGACATTCCCCACAAATTACGTATTCCACATGAGACAGCAATGAACTGTCTTATTCCCCTTTTTAAAAAACCAAATCAAAATGAGAGGAAGGTGCTAGGCATTTGTGATTTTTATTTTGATTCATATGTCCAGAGTCAAAAATCTGGCCCCTGGAACCACCAAATATGCCCACCTTTGGTCTAACCCTTAATTTGATCTAAACTGTAATTTTGTAATATTAAACTATGGTAAATGATGGTCAAAGGAAACCATGGTTTAGTGTTAACTGTGACTATGAAATTTTTTTGGAGAAGAAGCTCAAATAACACCAGAAAGGTAATTATTAGCTCCCCTACCAAAGTACCAGGCTAATTCTATCTTGGTATCAGTAGGACAGTATAGGTCGAAAGTTGTAAGTTGATAATGAGTCATCGACCTTTGGGGAAGAGATGAGCCAGAACCTGAGGTCAGAGTTTCATTTCAAAGCTATCCCATAAATTGCTCCAGCTACACATTGAAGAGGGACGTGGTGGCGCTGTGGGCTAAACCGCAGAAGCCTGTGCTGCAGGGTCAGAAGATCCGGCAGTCGTAAGATCGAATCCACGCAACGGAATGAGCACCCGTCGCTTGTCCCAGCTCCCGCCAACCTAGCAGTTCGAAAGCATGCAAATGCGAGTAGATAAATAGGGACCACCTCGGTGGGAAGGTAAACAGCGTTCCGTGTCTAAATCACACTGGCCATGTGACCACGGAAAGATTGTCTTCGGACAAACGCTGGCTCTATGGCTTGAAGAGCGGGATGAGCGCCGCCCCCTAGAGTCGGACACGACTGGACGAAAATTGTCAAGGGGAACCTTTACCTTTACCTTTACACATTGAAGAGGCATGTGCAGAGAAAAGCAGGTTTTCTCAAAGGTTTGGAGACAAACAATCTGATTGGCTAAAAGTATAAAGCAGGGTATAAAGTTTGTTTCTTTAGTGGTCCCCAACCTTTCTGACACAAGGGACCAGTATAGTAGAAGACTTCTCATAAGGAGGGGGGGTTTGTTATGCAGTAGGTTGTTGGATAGCTTTGAATCAAGATCATTACATGTATTGTGACGGGACAGATGAATGAGCAGGAGGTGAGCTGCAATTGAAGCTCTGCCTCCTGTTAGATCAGCAGTGGCATCAGAACCTAAAGTGGTGCCTCCACTTACGACCATAATCCATTCCAGAAGACAGATGTCTTACGACCATAATCCATTCCAGAAGACAGACGTCACTTGAAATGGTTGTACGTCAAAGCACCATTTCCCATAGGAATGCACTGAAATGCAATTAATCTGTTCCGGCCGAAGGAAAAAAAATCACACACACACCCAAAAAATCACTGCAAGACTTATTGGAAATACAATTAATCCCTTCCGGCTGAAGGCGGGGGGGGGGGGGGAAAAGCAATAAAGCATGCAAGACCCATTGGAAATGCACAGGAAACAAATGGAGCAGATTGGAAATACACAGAGAACAAAGGTGGCAGGTCAGAAATGCAAAGAAGACTAAGGAAAAACAAAGGAAGCATGCAAGGCCCAATGGAAATGGGAAAAAAACCAAAAAAGCAACCAAATCCCCCAGGACCCATCAGAAATGGGGGGAGGAGAAAGCCAAAAAATAAACTCCTCAAGACCCATTAGAAAGGGGGGAACCCCCACAAAAGCAACCAACCCCCCAAAACCCATCAGAAATGGGGGAAAACACTCCAAAAAGCAACAAACGCCCCCAAGACCCATCGGAAATGGGGGGGACAAAAAACAAACAACCCCCCAAGACCCATCACACTACAGAAAAATAACTCCCCCAGCTCAAAACCAAACTGCAAGAACACCCAGAACAGTTTTTAAAAAGCAGAAAACAGCACCTTACCTTACAAGGCAGCCTGAAGCCTCCCTGTGCGCGCGCGCGCGCGCACACACACACACACACACACACACACACACACACACACACACACACACACACACACACACACACATAACTGCTGGGGCAAAAGAGCTACAAAGAAGCAGCCTTGTTGCCACCTACAGTTAGCAATTTGAATTTCCTGCCTTTTTCTGTTCATAAGTGGAAGCTCCAGTCGCAAGTACAGTGGTGCCTTGACTTACAAACATCTTGACCTACAAACTTTTTGAGTTATGAACAGTTCCGTTCACATACCGTAATTTTGCTTTGACTTGCGAACACAAAAAGGCAGGGGGAAAGGGTGGGAAATTCAAATAGCTAATTGTAGGTGGCGACGAGGCTGCTTCTTTGTAGCTCTTTCGCCCCGGCAGTTAGAGTGTGTGATCCGAGGAGGCTGCCTACTAAGGTAAGGTGCTGCTTTATACTTTTAAAAAACTGTTCTGGGTACTATTGCAGCGTGGTTTTCGGCTGCGAGGTTATGTTTTTGTCCTGTGATGGGTTTTGGGAAGGTTTGTTTGTTTTTTGGTTCCCCCCCCCCATTTCTGATGGGGGGTTTGGTTGCTTTTTGGAGTGTTTGTTCCCATTTCTGATGGATGTTGAGGGTTTGTTTGCTTTTTGGGGTTCCCCCCATTTTTGATGTGTCTTGCATGCTTCCCTTGCTTTCTTGCTTCGTTCTCTTTGCATTTCTGATCTGCTCCGTTTGTTTTTGTGCTTTTGCAATTGTTCCTGCATGCTTCCCTTGCAAATCAGAAAAGTTTTTGCAAGGGTCTGTGCTGGCTTGGTTTAAAATTACCCTACAAGGCAGCCTGAAGCCTCCCTGTGCGCGCGCGCGCGCGCACACACACACACACACACACACTCAGAAGCAGAAGGAGGCAAGCCCAAGCTGACGATGACGCATACTCTCTAACTGCTGGGGCAAAAGAGCTACAAAGAAGCAGCCTTGTTGCCACCTACAGTTAGCAATTTGAATTTCCTGCCTTTTTCTGTTCATAAGTGGAAGCTCCAGTCGCAAGTACAGTGGTGCCTTGACTTACAAACATCTTGACCTACAAACTTTTTGAGTTATGAACAGTTCCGTTCACATACCGTAATTTTGCTTTGACTTGCGAACACAAAAAGGCAGGGGGAAAGGGTGGGAAATTCAAATAGCTAATTGTAGGTGGCGACGAGGCTGCTTCTTTGTAGCTCTTTCGCCCCGGCAGTTAGAGTGTGTGATCCGAGGAGGCTGCCTACTAAGGTAAGGTGCTGCTTTATACTTTTAAAAAACTGTTCTGGGTACTATTGCAGCGTGGTTTTCGGCTGCGAGGTTATGTTTTTGTCCTGTGATGGGTTTTGGGAAGGTTTGTTTGTTTTTTGGTTCCCCCCCCCCATTTCTGATGGGGGGTTTGGTTGCTTTTTGGAGTGTTTGTTCCCATTTCTGATGGATGTTGAGGGTTTGTTTGCTTTTTGGGGTTCCCCCCATTTTTGATGTGTCTTGCATGCTTCCCTTGCTTTCTTGCTTCGTTCTCTTTGCATTTCTGATCTGCTCCGTTTGTTTTTGTGCTTTTGCAATTGTTCCTGCATGCTTCCCTTGCAAATCAGAAAAGTTTTTGCAAGGGTCTGTGCTGGCTTGGTTTAAAATGTGCTGTTATAAAATGTGTGGGTTTAGCATGTGTTGACTCCAAACTCTCTCCCTCCCCCATTGTCTTCTCTCTCTCTGTCTCCTTCCATCCCTGCCCTTCTTTAAACCTGTTATCTTAGGTTTTTTTAAAAAATCTCCCCCTAGTGGTAGAGGACGGATTAACCGGTACAAACTGTGCCTTGACAAAAAACAGCCGGAACGAATTAACTGGGTTTCAATGCATTCCTATGGGAAATGCTGATTTGACTTACTAACGTTTTGACTTACGAACACCATTCTGGAACGGATTAAGTTCGTAAGTCAAGTCACCACTATAGAAGCCAAATTTTGCAGCCGGAGCTGGTCATAACTCAAAATGGTCATGAGTAGGAACGTTCGTAAGTCAAGGCACCACTGTAATAGGAGGACAGGTCCCTACTAGATTTTAACGCCACAGGGACAGCTGATCTAGCAGCAGGAGGAGGGGAGCGGGGAGTGAAGCTCCACCTCCTGTCAGATCAGCAGTGGCATTAGAACCTAACAGGAGTGAGCATTCAAGCATTAGCTCTCTGCTCACCTCCTGCTCGACACTCATCTGTCCCAGTGGCCCAGCTCTACCAAGGCCACGGACCAGGGGTTGGGACCGCTGGTTAGAGGACCTTTTATATGGAGATGCAGCACATTATGCTGTTGCTAAGAATCAGCACACTACATGGGCTCAGATGTCTCACCCTTCAGTATTTAGTTTAGGATGAGAAAGCTTTCTTATTTCCTTGCAGATGATTCTTGTACCTATCATTCTTTTAGCTGAATTGGCTTTGTTCAAAAGTGTCTTCTCTTTTTCAATTTGGCGTATCCTTTTCTTATTCTTTAAATAAAGTTTAAAAACTCCACTTGGTGTATTTCTTGGTTGGTGAAGACAGATTCTAAATCTAGTTCCTGAGGCTGAAATTGGCTACACCAATACTCATTACCATTTTTGCAACCTGGTTTTGACCTCTCTTGCAGTGTTGATGTTTACCCAGATGGGAGAATTTGAATTTGAATGCTGAACTTGTTAATTAATCCTTGAGTGATAGGACACAAGTGCTAGTTAATTTGGGCTTCTGGGACTCAGGGGAGTTCTGCTGGGTTTACACAGGGCATTTCAAAAGGGTTTAGAGTGGCTGGATTTTGTTCACATCAAGACTTCCTAAAGGCAGCTGTATTGGTTGGTTTTCTCTAAGCACAAGAACTAGAGAGAAAGTCCTTGAGAGTGACCTAGGAAATAATCTAGATTTTTAAACAAATGATTTCCAAAATTATTTAAATTCAAGCAACGTTTAAAAACAGTCATACAAGGGCCCACACGTTTGGCTTCCATCTGAGTGTGTGAAGAATTTTGCTTTCGTATCTGCAGCATTTCTCCTGGGTATGCAGTAGTTCAAATTCACAGATCAAAACTTCATTTTCCTCCATCTGTTCTGTCAATATGGGAAGTATTTGAAATTTCTCTCTTACTCCTTCATGTTACAGGCAGTAAAATAGTGCTGATCAAGGTCAACTCACAATGGAATAGAAACTCAAATACCCAAACCCATTCCAACTTCCTCCGGTTTTCCACGACATTTTTTCAAGCATTTTGACTCTCCTGAGGGCTTCAGCTAGTTCAATTTTGTTTCAATGTTTTATTTTCCATTTCTCTTCTGTAGGTCTCATCTTAGACATGTTGTTGTCTATGGCAAAAGAATCAATAGCATCCATCTGTACCAGTCAAGGTGCACAGTACCAAGGCTACTCAAGTTATTTTGGCACCTGAGGCAGAAAAATCTTAACATATAGCAATAGTTTAACTATATGCACATCTCTATGCCATCTTTTAGAAAAATACAATGCCAGCTAAACAATGTAGGATTTACATGCATAACCAATGACTCTGGGCTGCTCCCTGTGCATCTCCTGAATTTGGAGGAATCTCTTCTGCCATCACACAAATGATCAGGTGAGTAACTAGGGTGAAAAAACAATCTGCTCTTCTCTTCCCTGTTGTGAGACGGAAGAGGTTTTCCCCCTCACTATGCCGAAGTGACTCCTACATTTTGGTGGACAGATAAGGTAGACTGAACAATCCCAACTGCGGTAAGTTAAGATGAGGGGAGAGAGAAAAGGTATGTATGCACATGCACCTATTGCTCTACACACACACTTCTTGCTGCCACCAAACAATGAAGATGGCCCTCAGGGCCAAAAATGGCTGTGCACCTTCAGGGCAGGTGGGAAAGGAGAATGAGATATGAATTATGTTACATTGTCAAAATAAAAACAAAATTGCTAAAAGTTCAACACAGTCATTGATTAAAACATGCCTTTGAATAAAGACATATTTATTTATTTTATTTCTTTAAACTTATACCCCACCCATTTAGGGGGCACACCACTACTCTGGGTGGCTCCCAACAAAATAAGAATATACAAACAGTATTTTTAAAACGAACATATAAAAACAAAAACCTTCATAAGGAAGAATCCCAGACTTAGAATGGTGAACTATGGGTGGGCATAAATTTAGAAAATATTTTTACGAAGGGGTGTGGCCTGTAAAGCCCTGGGTAAAAAGCCAGGTTTTAACTTTCTTTTGAAAACTCAGGAAAATGGGGGCCAATTGCACTTCCACAGAAAGAAAGTGGACTGGACACTACCAAGAAGGCCCAGTTTCTTGTGGGTGACTTCCTGGCTTCTTCTGGAAGGGCCACCCTGAACATCACAGACTGGGAGGAGCACGTGGGACAGGAGGATGATCTAAGGGAGAGGCACTCTGAATGGTAGCAAAGTCCTAAACCATAAAGCACTTTATAAATTAAGATCAGATGTTCTCTGTGTTAATTTCCTTGGCATAATTCCATCATGCACAGGAAACAGATCATACTAATATTTGAAAGCCAAAGAAAAGTTGGCGCAGCTTCCCATTCCACGTACAAAATATGTTGAACTAACAGCTTGAATGCTCTGAACATGAGCTTCACTGATCAGCAGTACATTTGTGCACACCCTCTCTTTCTGATCTGAAAGCAAGAAGGTGCAGATGAGGAGGTTGCCATTCATTTTGCCTCCTCTGATGTTCATCCTCTCCTGTCCAGCTTAGGTGAGTATAGAGCACTAGTGTGGTGCTGGCATTTGATTGATGCACAGCCCAGCTGGGTTCCAGTGGGAACTGGAGTCCATCAGCACACTCTGCTCTGACTGTGCCACACAGGCAGGCCTGGAAGGTACTCAGCTTTTCTTTCTTTCTTTCTTTCTTTCTTTTTTGTCTATGTGTACTGGTAATAACAGCGATGATCTTTAGAAGAAGGCAGCACCCAAAGCCATCTATTTACAGGAAAGCAAGAAGTGAGTGGATCACTGAAAGCCTGGCAGTTTCTTAAAGTGCTATTGCTAAGCGGGGGATCACCCAGAGGAGACTTTGCTGAGGACTCTGTCAAAGATGATAATTATACTCCCTATTTGATTGAGAACATTTCACTTTCAATCTTCCAACGTAATTAAATTAAAAGGATTGAGGTATATACGATACCTTTGTAATTGCAGTGAAGACCTTTTCAAGAATTGCATTAGGCTGAGCTTTTTGTGGTCCATTGGCCTGAACTTTTAGGCCTAAGGCACACGGCTTGGCAATAAACCTACAGCATTAGAAAGAGAGAAAGAAAAAAATTTAGATGCACGTGATCACGTATTCAAAAGAAATTACCACAATTCATTAGTATTGCAAGGAGCAGCCTTTCATGTTACATCTGAACCAAGACCTTTTCATCCAACTTATTGAGAGAGAAAAAGATGAGAAGTTGTTAAAATGAATAATGGACTATAATTATAAAATGTTGAATAGGCTGAGGGCCCACTCCTAAGGTTTCATATTATATGGATCTTTGAATTTGTGGATTGTTAGAACTGGAAATATTAGCCTTTGCACCTGGATACATGTAACAGAAACAGAAAAACTCACTATTAGGGACAAACTGCTCAGCTTCTCTAATGAATGGAAAGGGAGCCAGACAAACAATTAAAAAAAGAAAAAGAAAAAGATCACAACCAACCAGAATGTAAACTACTTTTACAGAGAACTTCATCACAGACAGCACTTAGAAAAGACAATAAAACAAAGGTATGTAGGTCTGTGGAGTGGGAAAGAGAAACCAAGAGAGTATTTTTCTCCCTAGCTTGCTGAATATAAAAACAGAAAAGAATTTCAGCCTTAGCAGAGAATGACCGTATCCACATACACAAGCAGAGATAAATAGACATGTAAACCAGATTGCATCAGGGCATTCCTGGCCTGTCGCATCGTTATCTCTGCCATCAGCAATCACTTGGCTGACTGGACAGTCTGTACATGAGAGCTCGTTCACTCTGTCTGTTTAATGTTGTGCCCTCTCAGTGGAGAGACGCAAAACAGAGATGAATTCAAACTGGACAGCAGTGACCCAATAAAATATGGTCAGTTCACATACTGAAATAGCGACATAAGGGAAAGTGACCTTCAACTTTCGCTTCATGTCTTCAGGCACAAAATTTCTCACTGAGTTGCTCCGGCAAGTTTCTGTGCTGCCTTGATGAGTTCAAGCAGATAAGAAGTTATTTTCACATCTCATAACAAAATCAAGGATTTGAGAATAGTCACTAAAGCGAGCGAGCTCTGCTAGGAAGGGGGGTGGGAACCTAACTTTTTCATGGATCAGAGTGAGGAACATGTGCTCTTGAAATGTTGCTGGATTACAAATCCCATCATTTCTCATTTAAACACAAAACCATATGTCTCCCATCCTAATGTATTTATTATTTATTCATTTGTTTATTTAAAATATTTTTATCCCACTGTTCTCTTAAAGGACTCAATGTGGCTTACATATAAAATAGTAAAAGTTAAAGACAGAAAATTATATTTTAAAAGAATTAAATAAACATTATATTTAAAATGTTAGGTAAAAGCATTACTGAAATAGATTTTAAAATAACAAAATTACAAACCATTCCATTAAAAAAAACCTCTCTCAGACAGACAGTCACTAAGGAAAAGCCTGCCTGAAGAGAAAAGTCTTGCCTGTTTGCAGAAGGACAGCAAAGATGGGGCCAATCTGGCCTCCTGAGGAAGGGAGTTCCAAAGTCTGGGAGAAGTGTTGGGATTGAGAGAAAGGCCTCCACTGATGAAAACATTTCGGCAGGCCCAAAAGAAGATGAAATCTTTTATATACTTGGACCCAAGCTTTTTAGGGTTTTATAGATTAAAGCTAGCACTTTGAATTGTTCCCTGGAAATGGATCTGTTGTAACAGATGTGATCCCTGTAACCAGCCCCAGTCAATAAGCTGGCTGCTGCAGTTTGGACCCGCTAAAGTTTCCTGATACTTTCCAGAGGTAGTCCCACATAGAGTGGTTTACAGTAATCCAGCCAGGATGTAACTAAGGCATGCATTACTGTAGCCAGATCAGACCTCTCCAGGAACAGGCACAGCCGGTACACTAGTTTCAACTGTGCAAAGGCACTCCCGGCCACTGACAAAACCTGGGCATCCAGGCTCAGAGATGAATCCAGGAGCACATCAAAGCTGTGCACCTGTTGTTTACAGAGGGAGTGTAACCCCATGTAGCACAGGCAGCATCTCTATTCTTTGATCTGCATTTTCCAGAGTAACATATTACTATGAAATCAATGAGTCAAAGCTAACAAGTCAAACTGAAAATTGAAGGGGAGTCAGGCGAGGAGCTGGACCATAAAGAAGGCTGACCTCTGAAGAACTGATCCTTTTGAACTGTGGTGCTGGAGGAGGCACTTGAGAGTCCCCTGGACTGCAAGGAGAACAAACCTATCCGTTCTGAAGGAAATAAACCCTGAGTGCTCACTGGAAGGACAGATCCTGAAGCTGAGGCTCCAATACTTTAGCCATCTCATGAGAAGAGAAGACTCCTTGGAAAAGACCCTGATGTTGGGAAAGTGAGAAGGCAAGGGGGACGACAGAGGATGAGATGGTTGGACAGTGACATTGAAGCGACCAACATGAATTTGACCAAATTGCAGGAGGCAGTGGAAGACAGGCGGGCCTGGCGTGGTCTGGTCCCTGGGGTCACGAAGAGTCGGACACGACTTTACAACTAAGCAACAACAACAGGCAAGGAATCTACTGTAAACATGCATATGTAACTAAAACTTGAAGATGGGTGGGGAAAAAGAGGCCACTGTGGGTGGCTTCAAGATGATGACACACTGCATATCTAAAAGCTGGATGAGAGTCTAATTGTGTTCAAAATGTACAATAGGTGGGTGACAGGAAAAAGGACAAGGTGAAAAAAATTCAACCTTACACAAAAACCAGAATTTCCAGTTAACTAGCAGACACAAACTCTTCCATGGTGCATCCACGCTTCTATTAAAACCAAGATGCAGAACATAAGACTCAGCTCCCATCAGCTCAAGGCCATATAGTTAAGGGAGAAAGATGATAGGAGCTGAGGTCAACAATAACTAGCTCACATGTGCCTTAAACCTCATGTACCCTGTAACCAATTATGTAAGTCCCCAGTGTGTTCCCCACAGGAATGCTTAAGAATAAATAGAGTACCAGGCCCAAAGTATCTCTGCAGCCCTGATTCCTGGCACAATTGCATATGGGTTTTTCCCCAAACCCAGAGGTTTGGGGAAGGAATGCTAATGCAACCTAAGAGTTACAACTGCTGCCATCCTCCTCCATGCTACAATATGCAGACACCACTCATTCCCTGCTTCAGTATGCAAATTCCACAGTGGGAACATCCAGTCATCAACTACAATTGAAGGCTACGTCTGTCAAATGACAGTCTTGACAACATCCATGTGTCAAACTCAATCAGTGAAATTATGCAACTCACTCAGGACCTATACATGATGCATACACACACTCACACTGCCTCCTTTTCCAAATTAAGGTAGAATCCAAATATTGTTGGCTCTGCTTGAAAACCCCTGAAAATAGCAGATGGAATCTATTATAATGGATTAGCAGAAACCCAAAATTGTGTAACTGGTGTTTGCAATTCTTCTGGTTGACTGGCACATGGCTGCACACACACTTATTTACATGCTCAGGCTTACAACAGAATTGTTTTTTTAAAAAAAGACCACTTGTAGAACATATTTTACACATGTGATTTTTTTTCACTAGGATTTCAGTCACCAGGTAATTACCAGTACAAGGAAACCCTTTTCAGTTAGCACCGTCTGGTAGCATTAAATGTATCCTACATATAAAAATTTATATTGGATGTGCTCAATAAAGATACCTTAAATCTACCAATTTTACACATGTTAACTATAAAAAGGCCTGTGAACTATATTACAACTTCACAATCTAGTTGTTCTCAGAAGCCACAACCCATAGCTTTTGTTCTTACTCTGTCCTTGTCAGCAAATCTCTCACATACTTTAGTTCCAGAGACAACTAGGAGGAGCATTACATCCGCGTCACTATTTTTTACAAACTTCACGTCATTCAAGCTGCAGTTTGCAAGCCTGCAGCACAACACAACTTGGAGTGAATCAGGGTGGGCAAAAAGGCCAGTGTAGAGATAAAGAAAAATAAGGTTCAAGTCAAAAAGACAGGAAGTGGGAAAAGATAGCCAGGCCACTTCCATGCTCTTCTACACAAACTTATCAAACTGCTTTATATAACCACCAGTTCAAGACAATGATCATACTGCCAATATTCCTGCTTTTTGCTCTCACACTTCTCTCTAGAATCAATTCAAATAATGCCAAAACATTATTGCCCACCAATTATTAATATTCTAAGGACTACTAAAATATTAACCTTGATGGTTCTCATAAATATTTATTATGGAAGCCACACACACAAAACCTTCCTTTTATTCTACTATCAGGACATTGAAGCTGAAAAGAGTAGCTTACACTCAAGGGAATCTTTTGTCAGCTACACAGATCATTCCCATCAACACAAGACTCTTGAGCTAAAATGTAGAACCCAATGCTCAGCCCTATTGAAAATGAAATCTTTACAGAATCTTGACTATGAATTAAGTAATTTTGTGTTTTGACAAGAAGCTTGTGAGAGGAACAGGGCTCCTCACTGGCTTGTATGCCCATGCAGACATACAACTGCGTAACTGTGTTGTTGAAGGATAGTGAAGATAAGACATCTGGTAGAAGAAAGAACTTCCACCATCTGAATTCTGCTCCTCACACTTCTTTTCCATTCTCACAGCTTTTGTTCTAATAAAAGCTGAGCCATCCATGTTGTCGTCATCATCTGGGAAAAACAATGAGTTCCAATTTCATTTTTCTTTTCAGCATTTACAAGAACATGACAGTCCTCACTCAAAATTACTTACCAAGCAGAAAGCAAACACTATTCCATTTCAAGTAACAATTTGAACCACAGGCTGTGATATGCTATCTGCATTTCATGCGTGGAGGGTAGTGGTCCCCAACCTTTTTAATGCCAGGGACCAGTTTTGTTGAAGACCATTCTTCCAAGGACCGGGGGGGGGGGCTGGTGCCGCCGGCGTCCATGAACAGGGGTGTGATAACCTTTTATATCCACTGTATTTGTTTGACCTTTTTCAGTATTTATATGCTCACTTGGGTTAGCCTTTATTTTGTCCTTTAAAGTTGTAAGCTGCCTTACATGCAAAAA